TCTTCCATTGGGGATTTGTGAAGGATCTTGTCTTTGTACCACCTTTACCTACAAGTGTAAATGAACTGAAAAAACGCATTTGTGATGCTGTACAAACAATTACCAGAGATACATTACACAGTGTTTGGCAAGAACTTTCATATCGCAATGATATCATACGCGTAACGAAAGGAAGTCATATTGAACACTTGTAAACAAAAACTCACACATTTTCCCGTTATATTCGTGTTTGAATTATAATTTTCTGTGTGTAATTTTTTAAAATATAAATTTTTGAAAACGGATGATTCTTTCCGGGGAACCCTGCATTTTTGGACGTAGTTTCTTCCAAGTGTACTTGTTTCGTGCGTTACGCGCAGGATTTTCTACCGAAACAAAAATCGAATCATGAAATGCTGCAGGTTGCAGTTCGATGCTTCCCAAAAATTAGAACTATTCGTTTAACCGCCAATTAAAATTCGCCAATTTTTCGCTGTTTTCCAATGAGAGGTCACGCCTGCGGGCTCGCCGATTTTAACCATTTTTTACTTATGGTGCGCCGTAAGTGTACCAGCACTCGCGTTCTTCTGCCATATAATCTGTATATCAGATTATATTAAATTACATTAAAATATATTAGATTATATGAAATCATATGAACCTGTATTAAATGTGTACAAAAGTCCAACAAACACGGATTCTATTCTGCAGCAATGCACCGTTCGGATTTTTCAGAACAATATCTGACTATTTCTCGACTACAAAACTGCTTTCGTTGCCCGCTGCAGGCGACAGCTGGCATTTGCAAAGATCGAACGGCCGTCCGATTTGCGAGTCGCATCGCGACCGAAGTATTTTACGACGATAGGATCGAACGGGGAAGAGAATCGGAACGCCGGGAGAGTAATGGCTAATGCAGTGAAAACTATCGACGTAAATACCGGCGCGGCGGCGGGGACGAGACTATTATTCTTAGCCGAGTTTCACGCGATAGTTTCACCATGGAGTTGCCGACTGTCGAGCTAGATAAACACTTATCGGGCTTGAATTGACGGTGAATCGACGGCTTTCCCGATCGCGGGGTGGGGGGCGCCTCGTAAATCCGTATTATCGGCTCGGTGGCCGGATGCAGTTCCCGTTATAATTTTCAGCCCGCGATGTAAACAGTTATCCTGGGTCGAAGGTAAACGCGGTTTATGCATTCCTCGGCAAACAGCCAGGAACGATGGGGCGCCGAGGGTCTTGCGAAATCAATTCGCCGCCACGCCGTGGATTAGCGGATTACTTTGACGAGGTTAAGGGTTATCCGCTACGAAACTTCGAATAAATCGATTTCATTTCTGTCTACGGGAACGCGCTTGCCGAGGGATTCATCTCGATTCACGAAAATAAAATTTCACCACGAATTTAATGCTTCGTTCGAATTACTTATTCGTGTAAATGATTTATTACAAATTTTATTACAAATCATTCGGGGAATAATGCGTATCAAAATATATAAATCACTTGAGTACAGCAAGGACACGAAAATAACACTTTAATAATAAGAAGAACTTTCTAACGTTTGTACTTTTCATGCAATACCTCATTTTCGTCGACAATTTTGGGTTTTTACAAAAGTTCGTTTATTTAAAAAAACTGAGGGTGAGATGGAGCAATTCGGTTTTCGGATTCTTGTTCAGGGAGTGAAGCTCTACAAGAATTTCATAGTGGCTATGGGAACTCAAAAATCGTGTCGGTCAGAGAAATTAGTGTGACGAGATAGAAGAATATTTGTCTCAACCAATTTTAGAAAAGTTATTCCGTTTTAAATGGTGCTCACATCCATGTATTTATAAAACCACGATTGTAAATATTCCACACGTTTAGCTCGAATATTATGTTTTTAGCTCGAAAAGCTCAAAAAGCTCGAAAGCTTAAGATCATAAGCTCAACGCTCAAAAGCTCGAAAGCTCAAGATTCATAAGCTTAATGTTCAAAAAGCTCGAAAGCTCAAGATTCATAAGCTCAATTCTCAAAAAACTCGAAAGCTCGAAAACTCAAAGCTCAGATTGATGAGCTCAATTCTAAAAAAACTCAAAAGCTCGAAAGCCCAAAGCTCAGATTGATAAGCTCAATGATCAAAAAGCTCGAAAGCTCAAGCTCAAGGTTGATGAGCTCAATGTTCAAAAAGCTCGAAAGCTCAAGCTCAAAACTCGAAAGCGCAAAATTCATAAGCTCAATTCCCAATAAGCTCGAAAGCTCGAAAGCTCAAGATTCATGAGCTCAATGTTCAAAAAGCTCGAAAGCTCAAAACTCCTCTGCACTCGAAGAAAAATTACTTAATTATGCATCAATGATCAATGCATCCAAAACTAACAAACTTTCCGACGCAACATTTCAAAAACGAAATATGGGAAAAATAAATCGATAAACTAAGGAAAAAGCGATTTATATTCTAACATTTTTATTTAAATTCCGTACGAATAAAATCTTATTGAAATGAATTGCTATTCGAATAAAATCTTATTGAAATGAGTTGTTATTCGAATAAAATCTTATTGAAATGAATTATTATTCGAATAAAATCTTATTGGATTGAATTGTTATTCGAATAAAATCTTATTGTAATAAATTGTTATTCGAATAATATCTTATTGGAATGAATTCTTGTTGGAATAAAATCTTATCCAATTAGATATTTACACGACGCTGTCGAATAAAATTTGATTACTTTTTCGTGTTTATCAGTTGTCCGCAATGCGAACGAAATATTGTCGAACTCTGGTTTTTGTAGGTGTCGCCGGGATCGAGTACGGCATTATTATATTCACCCGATACTTGCCCCGATATCTCGTTACAATACCTCGGATATCATTCAGCACTCCCTCGTCTGCGATTCCCGAGGTAAATTACGTCGATAACAAACAGCTCGGCACAATGTCGTAATTCTCAAGAACCCGGGAACGGATGGAGGAGACAAATGTGGCTCATAGACCAATCCCCGTGTACAGAGACGCACGGCCGACTGTAAATAGGTGGCAGTCAAACAAGAGGAACACGGGTATTTAGGCACGACTATAACGTTTACGAATACCTACTGTTACCGTCGATGTACGGGGTGGAACACTTGCACGAGACCATTCGAACGTTTCCGCAATTTATAGAAAATATGTAGAAATTGTCCAATATTTAAACAATATAGGATCTGTATCGATTAGGAAAGGACTATACGTGATGAAGGCAGGAAATATCGCGTACCTTATACCTACAACTAGGATTACAACTACTTCGCTTAATTTTACAACTTGCAACGCTCCTCACTCGACAAATCTCGAACACTCTCTACTCCAAACACGCTCCTTCGACACACTGGCTGCCTTTTCTAAAAACGTGACAATCGCATCCGCCGGCTCTCCGTCGGCAAAGGTTTTTTTAATCTGACCCGGCCTTCGCCAACGTTTCTCTTTTAATACAAAGTCTTAAAACTACGGTCTCCTAAGCCTAACACTCCTCCTCGCCCTAAACGTACCCACTAAATTACGATACTACAAATATAAGATAATGAAATTAACCCTTTCGCTACGGGCGGGTTCTCCACCGCGGTACTTCCGCTGAACGGAGCGCCGCGACATCACTGCACGCTACGCGACGCCGATCGTCAGCGGGAGTACCGCGGCGGAGAACCCAAGCTGCTTGAATGTTTTCGTACGAAAAAATTTCTCTCCAAAGGGTATTTATAAATAAAGGGTATTCCAGGGTATTTATAACGTCTTAGCATGCGCTCTTTAATTTACAGTATGAGAGGAAATAAAACATTATGCAATATAATGCATCTTATGGAAGGCCACTATAGTGGCCCATAGTACCTCAGTGGCATCTTATGAAAAGCCACTATAGTGGCCCGTAGTACCTCAGTGGCATCATACGAAAGGCCACTATAGTGGCCCGTAGTACCTCAGTGACATCTTATGGAGGGCCACTATAGTGGCCCGTAGTAGCGAAAGGGTTAATAAATAGATAATAAGATAATAGATAATAAAATTTTGCGAATCGATAGATCGCGAATTTTCTATTTCCATGAGAAAAGTTAGTAGATTTCAAAACGGTAGAAACTTTGCTCCGATTTGACGACTGATTTCAACAATTACCCTTAACCGCAACGATTCAATTAATCGACGACGTACACCTTAGAAATCTCGTTTAAATGATGAACCTTGGTTAATAAATCTCACAATGATTTAAACACGGAATAGTTGCTAATAACCTGCGTCGTTAATGCGATTTTGAAGACGTGAAAAGAAAGGAAGTAGAACCGAGCAGAGGGTGAATTCTACGTGGAAAAATAAGAAACAAATTTGGTGAAACATATTATTTTTAATCCGGGCCTCCGTTTACAAGAAAATTGACTTTTTACGCGACCATAAATGTCCGAGAGATTCCGGCGTTTCGATTTAGGCACCGGACCCTGTACATGAACAGTTGAGCACACCGACTCTGCAAACCCCCGTGAGTAATGCGTCGTAGATAACGAACTGGAATCCCGTCAGAATCCGCGTTTACGGTTTCAATATACCGAACAGTCCGCGGCCGTTGATCGTCGGGAGCAGAACGCGACGGGCGCCGCCAACAGAAAATGTTCCGATCCTGCGTGTTACTTCCGGCGTTGATTTGCACCGCGTGTTTGATATTCGGCTGCACTGCCTGCACACCGGATATTGGACAGCCGCTGGACTTGAATCAGGTAATACCTGCGTTGTTGGCGCTGATCGTGCTGAGCTAGTCGCGTATTGTTCGGGGTGCGGTTGATTAACACAACTCGGGACGGGCCGTAATCGTTTCTTCTACACCACGTAATGCAGAATTCGTTTCTTTTTACGTTTTTAGTATTATTACATTGCGGTTATATTCTAGAACTAGTCGTCGCTGAGTATTGCAAAAGAAGTATAATAATGAAACTGCGAATCTTACGCATTTATGGCAGAAACGAGTACAGTAATGTCTCCCTAATTGACGCTCGCATTGTCCACGAAGATGGACAATTTGGGAAGAGGAGATACGATTATTCGTGCCTTGCGGCTCGTTTTTATAGTTATTGACAATCGGTAATTATAAAAAAAACAAGCCGCAAGGCTCGAATAATCGCGTCTCCTCTTCCAAAATTGTCTATTTTAGTGCACAATTTGGGCGACAATTAGGGAGACATTACTGTAGATGAAATATAAAATGGTAATAATATAAGACGAATTTGATAATATAATTACGCTATTTTCGATTTAATAAAATAATTAAAAGAGAATTTATTGTCATTTCATTTATCCAGCGTATTATTAGTGGACTGTGGATTTTATGCATTTACGGCAAAAATTTATTATTGGTAAAGATGCAAGAAAAATTTAATAATATTACTACACTATTTCCACTAATATAAACGATTTATTTTTAGCTAATCTCTGTTTCTCAATTATAAGAACGCGGATCTCTTTATGCAAAATAAACATTTTCCAAGACGATTGCGAATAAAAGAAAGAAATCGAATAAAAATAAATTGTTTCTTTTAATCGCTTCGAAAAGCTGCAAACAGCGTGACTATATATTTTCAAAGTCTTTTTACGTCTTCGCAATTCTATATTTCAGCTACAGACTTATCTTATGAATGAACAGATCGTTAGAGAATATAATTTGTGAACGTATTATAATATAAAGAAGCATATTTGTTTAGAGCAGCGTTTCGAGGTATAGTTGGACAAAATTTGCATGCAGCTCTATGTCCTTGAATCACGTTCGCGAGATCAAGCGGAAGAATCATTCGTTCGGATCACGATAAACCGAAACGTATAATGCCATCGGTTACACAATATCGGCGAGCCTGACGCAGCTATACAGACACACGTAAATTCGGTGAAGTATCAGTTAAACGGGTCGTGGGTTTGCGCTCCTGCACCCGAAACCTGTCAATATTGGATCGCCGTAGTCGTACACATTAATTTTCAAACTTGCGTGCACACGCACGTTCCTAATTCGAATTTATGTGTGTCGATCGATTCACGTGTGTGCGGGGGAGACGTTCTGAAACATAATCATCGACTCGTGCATTTATGACACAATTTTAAAAGATCACACGGTCTACCCATCGCTTACCATTTCACAAAGATCGAAAGTACAATTTTAATTAACTTACGAAAATTCACCTACAAAATCATATTCTTAATTATTATATATCGTAATGATTGTCGGAATTATATCGTAGCGATTTTCGGAATTATATCGTAAATGTAATCGTAAATATAATCGTGATTATATCGTAGACGCGGATCTTTATGGAAAATAAAAAGTGTTTGTATTAATTACAAGATACAGGAGCTACGTGGACGTTAATTTCTTTGCTTAATAATTTTAAGAGGTTGATAGTAACGCAACAGCATTACAGTTTTGCATTTCGTTTTCTGATCATTCTCATAAATGCATAAAATCTTTTTAACAAAATGTCTCAGTTTTCAGGAAAATGGTATCTCGTGGCTGGCACGCCGATCAACGAAAGCTTAAGCAGATGTGGACAATTTTTCGTGAGAAAAAGATCTTTGAACACGTTCGACATAAAATATACCGCGCAGAGTCACAAGAATAATATTCCTATCACTTTTAACGTGGAAGGCATCGTCAGAGGGAACAAAATCATTGGCATTTGGCAGCTGCAAGGGTCGAGGAACAAGTTGGGTGAGTGCAAATCAAATATGTAATCCTGCAAGTGTTACTCCATCAAGTTCTTCATCTTTAAGTCCATTAGATTATTCATTCAGGAACTTCAATCTTGGATAAAAGTTGTGTGCTACTATTGATTCGTTCAACTAGGTCCAAAGAACATCGCGCGAGTATTAAATGTTTTAAATAAATGGTTTATAAGAAGAGCGAATTCGAATAATATATCGAATAAATTCTTCGAGCAAAATTGTATTCAGATAATATATTTCGAATATTATTTCGAATAGATTCTTCGAATATAATTTGATTCGAAAAATATTTCGAATAAATTCTTGGAATAAAACTTCATTCAAATAATATTTCGAATAGATTCTTCGAGCAAAATTGTATTCAGATAATATATTTCGAATAGATTCTTCGAATATAATTTGATTCGAATAATATTTCGAATAAATTCTTGGAATAAAACTTTATTCAAATAATATTTTGAATAGATTCTTCGAACAAAATTGTATTCAAATAATATATTTCGAATAATATTTCGAATAGATTCTTTGAACAAAATTGTATTCAAATAATATATTTCGAATATTATTTCGAATAGATTCTTCGAATAAAATTTGATTCGAATAATATTTCGAATAAATTCTTGGAATAAAACTTCATTCAAATAATATTTCGAATAGATTCTTCGAAC